ATAATCTGATCTGTTGCAAAAATCAAATACTGAGTTATCTTTAATACAATGTGGAGCTAGAGGAACACAGCAGGCCAGGCAGCATCAGAGGAGCAGGAAAGCTGATGTTTTGGGTCAGGAGGTCCTGCTGTGTTCCTCCAGCTCCACACTGTGTTATCTCTGACTCCAGCATCGGCAGTTCTAACTATCTCTGACTAAGTTATCTTTAGTTGTTTTGAACGTTTTGCTGATTTAGCCTCCTACATGATTGAAGTATCCGTAAATGTACATCACTGTTGTTGCTTCTTTGTTACAGAGAAGTTTTATAAAAGGAAAAGAAGATAGGAAATAGGAGCTGGGCTGGCTGTTTTGTGCTTTGTACTGGTGTCATGCTCAACATGATCATTTCTGATGTTGTATCTCAATGCCACCTCCTTGTACTATCACCATATTCCTTAATTACCTTGGTATCCAGTAAGCTATCAACAGCTCACTGGAGTATATTCAATAACTAAGGAACCAGAATTCTCTGGCTAGAAAAATCAAAAGGGTAACAATCCTTTGTGTGAAGAAATTTCTGCTGATTTAAGTTCTAAGTCACAAACTCCTTATTCTGAGACTGTCCTTTTACTCTAAGCTGCCCAACAGGGGAAATATTTTCTCAATATCTACCTTGTAAAATCTGTTAAGAATTTTACCCATTTAAATTAGATCACTTCTCATTCTCTTAAACATCAAGGGACATTAGTCAAATCTACTGAATTTCTCTTTGGAGGACAATCTGCACACGGTAGGATCCAGTCCAGTGAACTTTAATTACTCCCTCCAGAGCAAGTATATCCTTCCTTTAGATAAAGAGACCAGTGCTACATGCAGTACTTCAGCTGTTGCCTTACTAATAGACTGCACTATTGTTCCAAGACTACCTTATTATTCTACTTTGTAACAATCCCTTTGTGACAGATGCTAAAATACCAACTGCCTTTCTAGTTGCTTTCTGTGCCTCCATGTTAACTTGTGCGGATTCATGGACAAATGTGCTGTCTAAGTACACACATTCGGCAGTCTCTCACTCTTCAAAAATATTGTTATTTTCCCAACAAAAATGATAACTTCACATTTCATCACAACTACCATGTCTTTGCCCAATCAGAAACTGTGAATATTCCTCTGCAGCCTCTTTCTATATCTTCACCATCTTCCCTCCTAACTTTGTATCACATCAAACTAGGATAACTTATACTTATTACTCTCATTTAAGTCATTAGTATAGCTTATAAGTAGCTAATGGGCGAGTACTGATTCATGCAATACCCCACCAGTTATAGCCTGCTAACCCAAAAATTGTCCTCTCTATTCTTCATCATTTTTCTGTCCATTGACCAAACCGCAATCAGTGCTAATTCATTGAGTCCTATTACATTTAGTATCTTTTTTTGTTTGACATCATTTGAATGCTTTTTGATTTACTCTTACCTGTCCTACCAATTAAATTCTCAAAAAGCTGAACCTAATTTGACTACGTTGCAGAGTTCATATCTTTTTTCCTTCTGGAAAATTGAAGAAAGAGGTGTTGCAGCGTCTGCCATTCAAAAACAGGGAATTAGAATCATAGGAATGCTGCAGTACAGAAAACAGCCATTCAGCCCGTCAAGCCCATATCAGCTTTCTGCCAGAATAATTCACCTACTTCAATTATCCTTCCCTTTCCAAGTTGTTTTGCAACATTGAAAGCCTCAGTTGAATCTGCTTCCGCTATCTTTTCAGGCAATACACTCCAGGGTATGACAACTCAGAGTCAGTCTCTTTGCTGTTACTTTGAATATTATTCATGATGCCGGGACTAACATGTTAGCATGGACAAAAGCAGAGTGTCAGAATAAGTGCATCCTTTTTGCATTGGCAAAATAACAAGTGGAGTGCCAAAGGGATAAGTGCTGAGGACTCAACTATTTACATTCTATAACAATGACATTGATAAAGGTCATTGATAATAGATATGGCTGCTAAATTTGCAGATGACACAAAAATACGTAGGAAAAGTAGCTATGAGGGGGACACAGAATATACAAAAGTGATATAGATTGGTTAAGTGAGTCGGCAAAAATTTGTCAGATGGAGTGTAATTTTGGAAAATGTGAGTCCATCCGCTTTGGGAGGAAAAATGGAAAGACAAATTGTTTAAATAGAGTGAAGCTACAGAAAGCAGTGGTACAGCAATCTGAGTATCCTGCTACCTACCTGAATCATAAAAAGATGTCCGGGCAGATACAGTAAGTGATTGAGACGGCAAATTTGAAAATTGTGTTTATTGCGATGGGAATGTAGGAAAGTGTTACTACAGCTGCGTAAAATTTTAGTGAGGCTGCATCTGAAGTACTGTATACAGTTTTAGCATTCTTACTTAAGAAAGGGAAGTATTAACTTCAGAAGCAATTCAGAGAAGGTTCATGAGGCTGATTCCTGGTATGAAAGCATTGTCTGAGGAAAGGTTGAGCAGGTTAGGCCTGTACTCACTAGGGTTTAGAAGAATGAGATCTTATTGAAACATTGAAGATTCTGAGGGGGCTTGACAGGTTGGCTGATGAGATGATGTTAATATTAAGAAAGTCTAAAACTAGGGGCAAAGTTTAAAACTGAGGGATCTTCCCTTTTTAAGATGGAGATGAAAAAAGTTCTTTAATTCTCTTACTTAAGTAGTTGAGTATCCCAAGCCTAACAGAGAGATTCATCAGCAGAAAGGGCCACTCACAAGGGAAGGTCTATCCTCTCTGCCCTTTAAACTGACTCCATGCATTGTACGCCCCACTTCACCTGGCTCTTCCTGACTGGTACCAGCAGTCTTGCGTATCTTTCTTTCAGAGCTCCAGTAATGATTCTATTCCTCAACTTTACAATGGTACAGGTAGAAGCCACTGATTCAGGTTGTGTCATCAGCCCTCAGAGAGGTGAAACTCCCCCAGTGATGCTGAAAATTCTGTTTCAAACCAAATGAGATCCTGGTTGCCCTTGCATTGCTTTCAGGAGGCCTGGAATGACCATGGTGTGATTCCCATTGGCTCTGTAACTGGGAGATATTCCCACTTCTGTGATCACTAAATTCCATCAAAGTCTCTTAAGGGGATAAGCTACCAGGGTGTTATCGCTTAACACAATCCAGGACAAAGCAGTCCATTTGATTAACAGCCTTGAAGATTTAGTAGCTTCACCACTGACGTACAGTGGCAGTAGTTGTAATAACAAGGTGTAGGGATGGATGAACACAGCAGGCCAAGCAGCATCAGAGGAGCAGGAAAGCTGACGTTTCGGGCCTAGACCCTTCTTCAGAAAAAATCAGTAGTTGTAAAGCAGTAGTTATAAAGATGTTTTGCAGTAATTCAAATGCTTTCTCCATAGCACCTTCCAATCCCATGACATTTATCACCTACAAGGACAAGGTCAGTAGATGCATGGGAACACTGCCATCTCCAAGTTGCACACCATCCTGACTGGGAACTATATTGCCAAACCTCCTGGATCAAAATCTGAAATTCCCTTGTTTCATCTCTTCCTGGGATAGCAGGACTGACCTATGAAGAGAGACTAGATCAGCTAGGACTATATTCACTGGAGTTTAAAAGAATGAGGGGGAATCTTATAGAAACCTATAAAATTCTCACAGGACTGGATAGGGTAAATGCAGAAAGGATGTTCCCGATGACAAGGGAGTCCAGAACAAGGTGTTACAGTCTAAGGATACAGTGTAAACCATTTAGGACTCAGATGAGGAGAAATTTCTTCACCCAGAGAGTAGTGATTCAGTGGAATTCTTTGCCACAGACAGCAGTTGAAGCCATTGAATGTTTTCAAAAGAAGATAGGTATAGTTGTTAGGGTTCTTGGAGCTAAAACGAATAAAGGAAATGGGACAAAATCAGGAACTGAGTTCTGAGAAGGCATGATCATATTGAATGGGGGAGCTGGCTCGAAGAGCCAAATGGCATACTCCTGCTCCTAGTTTCTATGTTTCTCCATGCAATTTGGGATACGCAATAAATGCTAGCCTAGCCAGCAGCGCATGCACATTTAAATGAATATAAAAATGAATATGGTCTTTTGCCATATGAAATCAAATGTAGATGCAGTGGAGTCTGAATCTGCATAGGGTATCTGTGCTTGCTTTCTGGGCCTTAACCAAATCTCTCAATTTCAAGATCTGGTCAGTTCTGATTTAGCATTTTACTACCTTTAATACTGCCTAATTCTGAAAGAAGGCCTTTATTATTGAGCATTGTTAACTGATATCAAGATTAGTCTGAAATTTCCAAGCACTGACAGATATTCTTCATAAATTTTTCAAACTTCATTACTGTCACCTGTATTCATTGAGGAAACGTTGACATCAAACACAAACTTGTTAAGATGTCTATTTTAACCCCTGTCCCTCCTCACTGACCATCCCAACTCCCTACCTACACTCACCTGTACTGGCTTCATCCCCGCCTCCTTGACCTGTCAGTCTTCTCTCCACCTATTTACTCCTGTATCCACCTTCTGTCATCGCCTCCACCTCTCTTTATTTCAGAGCCCCCTCCCCCACCCCCACCCCCATTTCTGAAGAAGGGTCCAAACCCGAAACGTCAGCTATCCTGTTCCTCTGATGCTGCCTGGCAAGCTCTACACCTTGTTATCTCAGATTCTCCAGCATCGGCAGTTCCTACTTTTTTTTTAACCGGCTGCCGTCAAGCTTCTGTTTCTCATGTGTGGTTATGTGTCTTGATAACGTAAACTTTGAAAAGAAAGTTAATTCTGTATTCTCGTTGCAAACAAAGTATTATCTATGCTGCAAGCATAAAATTTACTGTATCAGTAATACGTCGGCTTCCTTGCTTATTTGGTTTCACTTTCTGTAAACTATGCAAATTAACAATGCACCTGAACTACTTTGGCAATTGGGTGTAGCAGTAACATGTGACATGGCAGTTTGATTCCTGGCTGTAGTTGAACTAGCTGTTAGTCCAATAAACTGCTGCCAAGTCATCACATAGAGAGCTGCTCATATACATAATCATCACTCGTTAGTGCCGCATTTCCTGGGTTTTGTTTACAGTGGACTTACAAAAAAATGGATGGTAAGAGCCTGCTTAAAAAAACTCGTTTCTGTTCATTTATGCTGTAGGAAAGTTAAACAAAAGCGAAAACAGCATGCATTATAGCTGGTTTTCTGTGGTTTACCAAGTTCCGCAGCAGGATTTTTATAGGCCAATTTTTCTAGATCTAACAAATAACTACGTAACCCCAAGGGGCTCGCTTTGTTAATTGAGCTAGTGTATCTAAATATTATTTGATTTAACAACATTCGCAATTCAGACAGGGAAAAAAAAAGTTTGTACAACATAGCAAGATGTAATATCAAACAGTTGCACATTGTTTATGGGTATTATCAGAAATTTGTGTATTATTATCAGTAAACTGGTAAGTCCCCAACTTTTGGTAAAACAGATGTCGGTCCATAGCTAAGTCAGCTGATTTAAAGCAAACTGCTGGTGTAATTAAAACAGAGCAGTTTCACATCTTTCAAGTCTGATATAGCTTTTATCTAAAATTGTAGCCAGTTCTGGTATATTTCATTCTGTAAAAGAAATGCATTCCATATGATTTAACTTGAAACTTTCCTCACTTTTTGAATTTAAAGTTTACTTTGCTTGTCTGGAACACTTGATCTAAACGGATGCTTCCGGTAAAATACCAAAACACCACCTTATCAATAAGACATTTAAGCTCAAATTCTGTCAGCCAGTTCAGGTAGATATAAATATTCCATGGTATTTTGTGGAAAAGAACATGGATGAAGTATTAGCCAAGATTCCTCATTCCATATTATCAAAACGAATGAATTTGTTATTTCTCTAATTTGGTGTTTGTGAAATTTTGCTAAGGAACATTCCTGCTTTATTTGTCAACAAATTAAGTGACTATATTTTTAACTTTTTAAAAAAATAATCAGAATTGAAAAGCCCCAAGGCCATTGGAGGATACTATATAGATGGAAGTTTGATCGTTCTAACATTTTCTAAATTCTAAGAACTGAGTCAGGTGTGGACATCGTCATCTGTTTGACCCTCTTTGCAACAGTTTAATGTACTATTCATTAAGAGAGTCTGCAGCTTTTTCTTTGTGGATCATATAGCGTACCATGGAGCCTTCTGGATATTTGATATAAAGTTTTTAAATTTGTAATTTTTGATTTGGCTTGAAAGTGGCAGTAAGAAAGCTGTTAAAAAGGCATATAATTGCAAAACCAAGAAGCACAGCTTACCCCTTTACAAAGTCATGGTTAGATGCCAGCAAGAGAATCTTGACCAGTTTTGGACACAACATTTTGGAGAGAATGTCAAAATGCCTTGGTTTAGGGTTCTGAAGAGATTTACTAGATGGTACTGAGGGCGAAAACTTCAATTACAAGGGAAGACTCAAGAACCTCCTTAGTTTATTTACAGCAAAAAAATGGAAGATCTGATAGTAGTATTCAAAATCATAAGGAGCTTTGATCAGATAAAGAGAAACTTTGCAGTGATGGCAGGTCAGTAACCAGAAGGCAATTTAAGATAATTGGCAAAAGAACCAGAGATAACATGAAAAAATCATTTTTGTGCAGTAAGTTGCTATAACTTATAATTCACTGCCTGAAAGGATGATGGAATCAGGTTCCAAGATAACTTTCAAAAGGAATTGGATCAATGTTTGGAAATGGAATTTTTAAAAAAGTAGGAATAGAAAAATAACAAATGGAGTTGGACTAATAAGATAGTACTCCAAAGAAGCAGCACAGGATAATGAACTTCTGTGCAATGTGATTTGTTGAAACCAAAAATCTTGGTATTTTGATACAGGATTTGTTGGTCAGTGAAGCAACAGCCATGGGAATTACCTCTTTCGTTATTGGATTTCAGCTACCTATATTTTTGATACAGAGATAGCTGTGTTCATCCAGCTCTACACCTTGTTACCAATATTTTTGATACTGTTTTATTGCTCCCTGTTTTTCAGGATATTCTTGTTGCTAAATTCCAGGTAGCTATCTCCCAGAATGCATTAGTGCTTTTTCTAATATCTTGGTACAGTTTTAATGTGCCTTGATTTTGAACAGTGGATTTTTTTTAGACCATTTGAGCTACTTTGTTCTATTATAGGCTTTGGATGCATTCATTTTGTAGCACAAGTCTGGGCATTCTCGTCAAGTTGCCTGCCAAATATTTTTTATATAATGGCACAGTGAACAAATAATAACACCAAAGAGTGGCTAGAGAAGGCAGCTGCATGTATATTTTAAAAAGATATATTACAACTCCTGTACTAAAATAAGATTCAAATAGCTTCCTTACTTGGTGTTCTCTTCTCCCATCATCTGTCAAAATCTCTGACTTGTCCAACTCCCTTGAAGGCCCCAGGCTGATCGTCTGATTCGAGGAAGAAATCAAAATGGTGATCAGACCGATGCAGAATTGAATTGTATATTAAATTCAAAACAACTGTCAAACACTTGATTAAAACATTTCAAACACAAACTCCCATACTTCCAGAAGAATTTGAATTGCTTGGTTCCTCCTTCAGACAAGGCAACTAATTGCAGCTATGTAATGGGTCAAGTTGGTACATGATTTCTCAGAATGAATCAGGCTTATAACTCTTAGCATATCAAAATTGATTTCTAAACTAAATTTTGGATGCATTGCTTCATTATTTACCTCGCAGCTTATCCAAAGATTCTACTAATACATTAAGTACAAAAGAGTAACTAGGGAGAGAATAGGGCCCCTAAAAGATCAGCAAGGCTGCCTATGTGTGGAACTGCAGGAGATTGACAAGATACTAAATGAGTATTTTGCATCATTGTTTGCTGTGGAGAACAATATGGATAATAGAGAACTTGAAGAAATAAATAGTGACATCTTGAAAAATGTCCATATGACAGAGGAGATGTTGGACATCTTAAAATGCATAAAGTTGGATAAATCCCTGGGACCTGCTCAGGTGTACCCTAGAACTTTGGGAAGCTAGGGAAGTGATTGCTGGGCCCCTTGCTGAGATATTTGTATCATTGATGGCCACAGATGTGGTGCCAAAAGACTGAAGGTTGGCTAATGTGGTGCCACTATTTAATAAACACGGTAAGGAAAAGCCAGGGAACTGTAGACCAGTGAGTCTGACATCAGTGGTGGACAAGTTGTTGGAGGAAATCCTGAGGGACAGGATTTACATGTATTTGGAAAGGCAAGGACTGATTAGTGATAGTCAGCATGGCTTTGTGTGTGGGAAATCGTGTCTCACTGACTTGATTGAGTTTTTTGAAGAAGTAGTGAAGAACATTGATGAGGGCAGAGCAGGGGACATGATCTATTTGGATTTCAGTAAGGCATTTGACAAGGTTCCATGCGATAGATTGGTTAGTAAGGTTAAATCACATGGAGAAGTAGCCATTTGGATACAGAACTGGCTCAAAGGTAGTAGACAGATGGTGGTGGTGGTGGAGGGTTGGTTTTCAGACTGGAGGTCTGTGATGAGTGGTGTGCCACAAGGATTGGTGCTTTTCATCATTTATATAAATATTTGGATGTGAACATAGGAGGTATGGTTAGTAAGTTTGTAGGTGACATCAGAAATGTTGGTGTACTGGATAGCGAAGAAGGTTACTTCCAAGTACAGCAGGATCTTGATCAGATTAGCCAATGAGCCGAGGAGTGACAGATGGAGTTTAATTTAGGTAAATGTGAAGTGCTGCGTTTTGGAAAGGCAAATCAGGGCAGGACGTATACATTTAATGATAAGGTCCTGGGGAGTGTTGCTGAACAAAGAGATCTTGGAGCCCAGGTTCATAGTTCCTTGAAAGTGGAATTAGAATTAGCTTTTATTGCCACATGTACTCACTCGCATGAGTATAGTGAAAAATTTACAAGCTGCCACTTACAGCGCCATCTTAGATACAAATGTACCTAGGCACAGAATCTTAGTATAAAGCAGAAAAATAAAGAAAGCAAGCCAAGAAGTTAAACATTACAGTCCTTCCTACTAAAGCGTAGAAAAGACAAAAAAACACAGTTAGTAGTTCAACATCACAGTCGTGGGCTCACATTCCTCACAAGGCTTGACTTCGTCCTCACCGCCACCTCGGGCTGCCTGCTTCTGCTCTGGCCGCCAGCTCCTGGGACATGCTGCCTGTGCAATGCTCTGGGGCTGCTTTACCACGTACTGCACATGAGCTGTTGCCCGTGCTGCTGCAGGACTTACTGCTCTGAGGACTTGCTGCCGGTGCCTGCTGCTGCAGTATCCACCTCCGGTGCTGAGGAGAGAGAAGAAGGAAAAAAAGAGACGGGGAAAAAGAACAGGTGGAGCAGAAGACCTCTGATAGGAGTGTCCTAGCCTGTTGCTGCTGTCAGGCCCTGGCCTGGAAAGATATGCAGGCGAATTACTGCTTCAGGGACTTGGTAGATGTTTCAGCACCAATTGCTATGCTTAGGGACAGGCATCCGATTGGATATTGAATTGATCGTTCAAGGGATAATGGCTGTAAATATCACAGAATGTTGAAAAAGAGAGAACATGAAGACTGAACTGGTGTTGACTAGGTTTTGAGCAGCAGGCAGCTTTGTATTTTCAGAGCTTCTGCACAGTACTGCTTTTGTCTTGCTCTTTATCTAGTTTCATTCCAGTCCTCAACTTGTTGAAAGTTCTGAGAAAAGAATCCCAGTCTGTAAGAAGTAAGTAAAAGTCTCTCTAGGTCTGAAGAAGCTGTTTATGACTTTGGAATTCAACCAAGATATAAAGTGCTACATGCCATAATACAACCTAGCGCACAAGAATTTCATGAAGGCCTGGTATTCATTGTTGAAGCATTTATCAAGCTGGCAAATTGCAATACTTTTTATAAAATGTATTCCTTAACTATGTCTGTCCCTCTATTGATATGACAGTGGGAATTTACGATCAGAAAAGATCAGGCATATATTGTAGATCTTCATTAGATTGTCTTATGTTTGTGGTTCACTAGAACCATAAATAAAACAGGAGGTAGACCGAGGGTAAACTTGAACAGGGTATACTTTATTGTGGATCCTCTCAACTCCACAGTTGGTTCTAGATTGCCCCTGTAGCTCCCACCTCTAGGTGAGTCAACCCACAGTCTTAGAGAGGCAACACACACCCACTACATACATAACACCCCACACCTTTGTTTCCATATTCTCCTTACCAATATATATACATCCAACAATTTTAGCTATTATAAAAGCATTGTAGCTAATATTTTTGCATTGTCAGGAATATTTACAAAACAAAGTGGGGAAAGGAAAATTACCCTTCTGTAGTTTACGTTGACATGATCAGTCTCTTGTGATTGGTAATTCCTAGAAGACTGTATTCTCATCTCAGGAATCTTTTCTAGTGTAGTCTCCCAGATTTTCAGAAGATCCTGTTGCTCCACAGGTACATCCGTATCTGAATAGCTGTTGTTGCCCTGTGACACTGCTGTCTCCTCCCTGGGTATGACCGACCCTGGCTCGGAGACCTGCAACTCAGTTGACACCACTGGTCCCATTTTGAGTCACCACCACTGCTGGGATCCATTTTCTCCAGATGTATAATTAGGGGCCAACCCAGTCTGTCCTCTTTGGAATACCCTCCTGACCATGAGATCCCCACCCTTCTGACCAGCTGTCCTCCTTGTTTTCACTTTACCACCTCTCTGGTCTCTTCTAGCTGCAGTAAGTCAGACATGGTTCTTAGCTGTCGGTTTAACATGAAGGATGCCAGCAAGCACTAGGTCATCGTGTGTGTGGCATGTTCATTTACATGCTGATGAATCTGTTTAGTCACTGTCAAGTGAACCCTCCCCAATGCCTTTCATTGGCAGGGGGATTGTGTTTAAGAGCCGCAAGGTTACGCTGCAGCTCTATAAAACCCTGGTTACACCACACTTGGAATATTGTGTTCAGTTCTGGTTGTCTCATTATTGGAAGGATGTGGCAGCTTTAGAGAGGGTGCAGAGGAGATTTACCAGGATGCTGCTTGGACTGGAGGGCAGGTCTTATGAGGAAAGGTTGAGGGAGCTAGGGCTTTTCTCATTGGAGGGAAGAAGGATGAGAGGGGACTTGATAGAGGTGTACAAGATGATGCGAGGCATAGATAGAGTGGATAGCCAGAGTGTTTTTCCCAGGGCGGAAATGGCTATCACAAGTGGGCATAATTTTAAGGTGATTGGAGGAAGGTATACGGTAGATGTCAGAGGTAAGTTCTTTACGCAGAGTGGTGGGTGTGTGGGATGTACTGCCAGCAGTGGTAGCAGAGTCAGATATATTAGGGACATTTAAGTAACTCTTTGGTAGGCACATGGATGATAGTAAAATGAAGGGTATGCAGGTTAGTTTGATATTGGAGTAGAATAACAGGTCGACACAACAACATGGGCCAAAGGGCCTGTACTGTGCTGTACTGTTCTATGTTCTATGTGAGATCTTTAAGGCATGCTTCAAGGTTTGTACAAATCTCTCCGCCTGGCCATTTGTCACAGGGTGATACAGAGCTGGTCTCTCATGTCTGACTCCACGATGTTCCAAGTACTTCTGAAACTCTTGCACTGTGGACCATTATCACTCACTGCTTGTTTGGGATTCCCAAACATGGCAAATATTTCATCCAGTCAGTCTGATGCTAACTTCGTGACCGTCACCTCCGGCCACTTGGAATGGGCATCCTTGTAATATCTGTCCCTCCGCTGGCCCCATGAAATTGATGTGAATCAGCTGCCACAGTGACTTAAGCCACTCCCATCGATGGCAGTGCCATCCTCACTAGTGCATGATCCCGCTTTCTATCAACCACATTCAGCCACCAAAAATGTTCAGAGACACTGCTGCACCCAGATCCAATTCCATCAGAAGACTTCACCTGATGAAGGAGCAGCACTCCAAAATCTTGTCATTTCATATAAACCTGTTGGACTATAATCTGGTGTCATGTGATTTCTGACTTTGTCCACCCCAGTCCCACACTGGCACCTCCACATCAGATGAGAGGTAACGATAAAATGGCTCAATAGTAAATAGCCTATTGAGCTTCATTACGAGTTGCATGTAAATAATTCAGAAAGGTGAGAGAGAGAGAAAACACAACACCAATAGGAATGTGTCTGTTGGAGTTGATGCCTTCAGATGAGGAAGAGAAGGGAAAAAAATTACAATAGTCCATTTTGGTCAGCAAGCACAAAAGCAAAAGAATTAATTATCCTTTATGAAGAGTAGAGCTGGGAGACTAACCAGAGGAGCAATGCAGCAGTGGATTCTGGAGGCACAGCATCATTTGCAACTTCTCAAATACTGAAGTAGTCTGTGTCCATATGTACCAAGACATGGACAACATCAGGCTTGGGCTGCTATGTGGCACAAATGTTATTTGCCACTTAAGTATCAAGCTGTGACCATCTCTTACAAGAAAGCATCTAACCATCTCTCATTGACTTACAATGGCATTGCGATTACTGATTTTCCCATTGTCAACATCCTAGGGCTTACTGTTGACCAGAAACTGAATTGGACTGGCAATATAAATACTGTAGTTGTAGAGTGGCTGCCAGAGAAGGTCTGTACCTAGGAATTCTGCAGATGGTAATTCACCTCCTTTCTCCACTAAGCTTGTCCATCGCATAAAAGGAATAACTTAGAAGTGTGATGAAATGCAGACTAGTTGCCAGGATAGTTGTACCTCCATCAATGCCAGAAGAGTTTCACAGCATCAGGACAAAACAGCTCACTTGATTGGCATCCCATTCACCGTCTTTAGTATTCAACCCCTTCAACATTCACCCCTTTCACCACCAGCACACAATGGCACCACTTAAAATAACTGGGCAGCAGATGTGTGACCCGCATCTTTTCCTCCAAGTTGCAGACCATCCTTCACCAAATCTGGATCCAAATCCTGGATTTTCCTTCCAAACAGCACTGTGGGTGTACTTGCACCTCCAGGGACTGCAGCAGTTTGAGGAGGCAGTTCACTACTTTCCAGGACAATTAAGGACCAGTAATAAGTGTTTACCTAGCCAGTGACACCCAAATCCTATATACAAATAAAATGAAAGGTAACTAAAATACGGCTGAGGGTGGCCTAGACAAGGACGAAGATGGACAGCGTTATGGAAATCAATTATGTAAGTTTTTATATGCTTATATATTCAGTAAAAGATCCAACCAAGAATTCAGAATAAGCTAGTGTTGAAATTGTGAAACTTGTTGCCCCCTCACACAGTGGTTGAGACAAATAAGTTGTGTATTTAAGGGTTAGAATGATCAGTGATGAGGGAGCAAGGGATAGAAAGAAATATGAATAGGATGGGATGAAGTACGGTGGAAGGATGTTTGTGTAGTTCGTAAATTCCTTCGCCGAGGGGTTAAGCAAAGTGGAGGAGTAGAAGGACTGGGCAACGTCGGTACATGTGAACCATAACTTTAAGTCTTTGAAAGATGCCACTATGTTGAAGAAGAGGAGCTTAGTGAGGTTACCTCCTTGGGCTTCTTCAGATGTAACAACGTAGGAACAGAGACAAAATGAGAAGCTATTGCTTTAGGTGTTCCAGTTACACGGGTGATAGCTTAAGAGTGGGACTGACTGAGGGGCATCTAACTAAGTTGGATAACTCAATAGACGATTGATGATGGTGTTAGCAAACTTGTTAAATGTGCATCGAGGGTAAAGGGAGATTTTCTTCACAGTCTCTGGCTTAAATTTTAACACAGGTTTCAGGACCCCAATGACAGGGAAAAATGTAGGTTAAAAACCTGCACTTGCTGACAGGGAGAATGGCTTGGAGGTTTTACTGCAGACAGCTTCTTAATAGGGCACCTGCAGACTTATGCAATTAAAGACACAGGCTCATGATGCTGTTGATATATGATGCCTGCATATCGCACCCATAACTTCCAAAGCCTGTCCAGGGGCCTGTAAATGTAGCTCATTGCATTGGATGTTGTCACTTATATTTTTAATCAAGGCTGTCTCCATTGCTGTGGCAAGCCAGATATCTGGAGAGATTCAAATTTGAGTCCTGGGAAAAAGTGAACGTGAATTCTGTAGTTTAATGTTTCCGTTTGCTCATTGTGTTGACATATTACTGCTGTATAGACCTGACAATTAAGTCATTGCCAAGTTATACATATTCTTGCAGGAGATTCTGTAACAATTGTAAAGTGCATTTTGAAAAAGATGTTTGACAGAGTTCTAAATTTAATGCTTTCCCTCCACAGGTCCTGCTCAGGTTCCAATGGTGTCTCCTAATGGTTCAGTGCCTCCTATTTATGTGCCTCCAGGATATGTGTCACAGGTAAACAAACATATTTTGAATTTCTATAAAAAGAATGATTGTTTAAGAAAAACATAGCATGCCAACATATTCCAACTAACTAACTTAGTTCCAGTTGTACTACAGCTGAACAGGATAGTTAGCTGGTGTAGAATGTGAAAAGTATGTATGCAAAAGATGAGGCTGAAGCATGCGCAACACCCTCCAGCCATTAGTACCAAGTGGATCATCCATCTCCGCCTTCTCCAGTAGTCCCTGGCATCAGCCAGCTTGATTCACTCCAAATGATTCAAGAAACAGTTGGAGACACTGGATACTGCAAAAGCTATGGACCCTGACAACATTCTGGCAATAGTACTGAAGACGTGTACTCCAGAACTTGCCGTTCCCGTAACCAAGCTGTTCTGGTACAGTTACAGCACTGGCATCTACCCAGCAATGTGGAAAATTGTATGACCTGTACACTGAAAGGAGGACAAATACAGCCCTGCCAATTACCATCCCGTCAGTCTACTGTCGATCATTAGCAAAGTGATGGAAGTTGTCATCAACGGTGCTGTCAAGCAGCACCTGTACAGTGACAGAGTTTGGGTTCCGCCAAGGCCACTCAGCTCCTGACCTCATTATAGCCTTTGTTCAGCAAAGACAAAAGAGCTGAATTCCAGAGGTGAGTTTAAAGTGACAGGCCTTGACATCATGGCAACATTCAACCGTGTTCGGCATGCAAGAGCCGTAGCAAAACTGGAATCATTGGGTAAAGGGGGGCAACATTTCTCCTGGTTGGAGTCATACCTTGCACACATAGGAAGATGGTTATGGTTGTTGGAGGTCCGTCATCTCAGCTCTAGAATATCTGTTCGGGAGTTCCAATGGATGGCATCCTAGGCCCAACCATCTTCAGCTGCTTCATCAATGACCTTCCCTTCTTCATAAGGTCAGAAGTGGGGATGTTTGCCAATGATTGCATAATGTTCAGCACTATTCTTTACTCATCAGATACTGAAGCAGTTCATTTTCAAATGCAACAAGATCTGGACAATATCCTGGTTTGGCTGACAAGTGGCAAGTAACATGCATATCACACAAATGCCAGGCAGTGATCATCTTCAACAAGAGATGATCTGACCACTGTCCCTTGACATTAAATGGTGTCACCATCACTGAATTCCCCCATTATCAACATCCTGGGGGTTACCATTGACCAGAAACTCAACTGGATTGATGTGGAGGTGCCGGTGTTGGACTGGGGTGGACAAGGTCAGAAATGACACGACACCAGGTTATAGTCCAACAGGTTTATTTGAAACTGCAAGCTTTCGGAGCCTTACTCCTTCTGCAGGTGTTAGTGAGAGAGGTGCTACTACCTCTCACACCTAAAGAAAGAGTGAGACTCCGAAAGCTTGTGTTTTCAAATAAACCTGTTGGATTATAACCTGGTGTCGTGTCACTTCTGACCTTGTCAACTGGATTGGCCACAGAAACACAGTGTCTACAAGAGCAGGTCAAAGGCTAGAAATACTGGGGCGAATAACTCACCACCTGACTCACAAGTCTTCCCACCTCTACAAGGCACAAGTCATGAGTGTGATGGAATACTCTCCACTTACCTGGATGGGTGCAGCTCCAGCGGCACTCGACTGTTGATGCCATCCAGGACAAAGCAGCACCAATTGATTGGCACTATATCCACCAACATTGCTGAGTTGCAGCGGTGTGTGCTATCTACACTGCTGAAATTCACCAAAAATCCTTGGACAAGACCATCCAAACCCAAGACCACTTCTAGAAGGACAAGGGCAGCAAATACATGGGAATACCACCATCTGCAAGCCCCTTCCAACTCACTCTCAATCTGACTTGGAAAGATGCTGTCATTTCTTTATTGTTGCTCAGTCAAAATCCTGGAATACCCTCCCTAAGGATAGTGTGAGTCTACGTATGGGCTGCACGTGGACTGCTGTGGTTCAAGAAGCAGCTCATCACCACCTTCTCAAAAACAAACTAAGGAGGAGCAATAAATATTGGCCAGTCAGCATTGCCCGCATCCCACGAGTGACTAATAATTTTAAAAATGCATTGTATAAACAGCGCAAATTAATAGTGGCTCAATGTAAAATTTCCATTATATTTTTAAATCTATAAAGCTTTTATATGTTTATTCTTAAAACAAACTTGATAAAAGAATAATACCATCTAATTTTGCCCTTTCCTCCACCTTGCACCCTACATCCCCCTATTGTGATTTCCCAGGATAATGAGGTTTCATTATTTCCTTTTGCAAGACTATTCATGCATTCTGTAGACTCTGGCAAGATTTTATACCCAATGGAAAGTTTTTTTTTCCCTGTACTAATGTTTTGTCACAGCACAATGTATAGCTTTCAGTGATATTCCACACATCACCATCACAAGGAAGAAATTTTTCCCTGTCAAAAGATAGCCAATACTTTCAAACCTGTTATTTGCCCACAACTAATCTGCAGTTAACTGGCAAAACTACCGAATGACTGGCCAAGTGACTGAAGACTAAGACTAAAGAAGGATCACTGGGTCCGAAACTTTGACTCTGCTTTCTCTCCACAGATGTTGCCAGACCTGCTGAATACGAACCACACCAAGAAGGTCTGGCAGCACTGTATTAAGGAGCTGCTAAATCTCTTTATAGATGATTTAAGCCCAGTGCACTTTTAAATATATTGAGCTTAAATAGCCTATAAAGGGACTTGGCAGTCCCTTAATACAAAGTTACAAGTACTGGTGCAGAGTTCAGTCATTAATAGAATAAACTTTAATAAATTATAACAAATTAAGTTTGCCTTAGAATAGAATAGCCTTTATTGTCACATATACTCAATGAGTATAGTGAAATATTTGTATGTCGCCAATTACAGTGTCGAATTAGATACAAAAGTACCTAAGCACAACTTCTTTAGTTACAAGATTTGGACAATACAGAAATAAAATGTCCAGCATTACAGAAATAGAAGTTCAATAGATTCAATATTGTAAAATTATGTTAAATACACACTGCTAATGAAGACAGCTCCTCTATTCAGTTTCTTTTTAAATCGATTCATGGACAGCTGAAGTGAGCACTTTGGTATTAGCATGTGACATGACCAATAATGACTTTGAGATGTATTTATACTTTGCAATATTACAAGATTAATTGATCATTTTTGAGGGTTTTAAATTAACACACAAAAATGTATTAAAACATTCTTTTTGCAGCTTCTAGTATCATGGTATAAGGTTGCATTTTTAAATAAGGTTGTCAGCTGTTTAGAGGTATTCCTGTAGGGTTGATCACCTGACTTTATACAGGTGACACTGACGCATCCATAGTTTGAAAATTTTACTGTGCTTACCTCTTTAAGGTAGAATTATTTGTAATTAGGTACTTTTGCTTGTGACTTCTCATTAGCAGTGCAAGGAAATTCCAATAGTCATAAACCCCACCCACAAAGCAATTGTGAACTGTGAATCCAAAACTACTTTTCCCTAATAGTAGTCCTTAATAGTATTTTCCTTGAGATTAATCTTAAATTCTTGGAGACTTCCAGATATTTCATTTTTCCCAGTCTACGGATAGTCTGAGATCTGACGTGCCCTGACAGATATGCATCAGATTCCTTAGAGATCTGAACACACTGACTACGCAGGAATTGCTGGGAAGTTTAAAATTCTGATGGGCAGTTACTTTGTGGCAGGAACGGTCCAGAAAGTCTCTCATTCTGCACACGTGTCAGAGACTCTGGATGGTACTGACTCAGTTACCTGGGAAGTTACTGAGAAAATGGTAGATTAAAACCCACTCCAACTCTTAGGCAAGCATCTTACTGACTCCCCAATTACTGATACTGCACCACCACCCCAACTTTCGTGCATAACTCTGAATATGGGTTCAAAAACACATGCTTTTTAGTTGACATCAATGCATAAAAACATAACAAGCAGGAGTAAGCCCTTTGGTTACTATAGCTTGCTCTGCCTTTCAACAAGCTGTTTTACTGATGCAACTGACAGTGATACAATAATGCGGGTAAAAGAAAGATTTTTGCTTCATCTTTAGCCACTGGTGAAGTTCTGGAAGACTGGAAGGGAGGCCAACGTTGTTCCATTGTTTAAGAAAGGTAGCAAAGACAAGCCAGACAACTACAGACCTGTGAGCCTGACATCAGTGGTAGGCAAGTGGATGGTGGAAATCTGAAACAAACATAATACTGGAGAAACTTAGCAGGTCTGGTGGCATCCATGGAGAGAGAAACTGCATGAACATTTCAAGTCCAATGTGACTGTTTTACAGAACTATGAGTCAGGTTTCCAGCTGAACGCTTAACTGGTATCCGTCTGAGATTAAGACTCAAATATGTAGCTTGCATCAGTTTACCATTGGATATTTATGCTCTTTATTTGGTGACATTTTTATGTTGAGCTGGGACGGAACAATAAGGTAAGGGATGTCTATAATAGAAATCAAACAATGCTATACGTTTTTTGCATCACTTTTAGATTAAAAAAAAAATCATTCTTCTGTTCACAAAGTTTTCTGTCTTCTCCATGAATATCATGGTAACTTTTATGGTGCACAATCAGGCTCTGAGGCAATCAAGATTTTATTGAATTACTTTTTGTGGATTTGCTGTCCTCCAGGCAGGGCATGCGTCTGTACAGAAATTCATAACGTGTGTTAAGTATTATAAATGTTCCACTTGTGAATGGCTCTGATCCAACCTGCATTTGCTTTGATCTCGAAGCTTTGTGTTCAGTATCTGTTAGTGCAAATAAAAAAAATGTTACGGTCTTGAAAAGCAATGTGCAAGAATTTGCAAGTGGAGACAGAATTGAGTGTTTTTTCAAAATCATGTGCACAGTATTAGATTCAGTAATGAATCAGTGCAAAGAAGTGATAAGAATCAAGCTAGAAATCAATCAGACTTGAGCGTGAGATTTGAAGGGCTGGATTTGGCAAATAGTTCCTGCAGGAATGATGCTGTCACAAAAGAGAGACGAATACTGTGAAATGTCAAGGAAGTAAGTTTACCGATATAATTAAAGTGAAATATATATGGAAGTTAGGAAAGCACAAATAGATTACTAGGGATTGTTTAGCAATCAGAAGCTAATTTGGTCTGTAGCACAAAGGATAGTAGAAAATCAGTTTGCCAGGACAAAGATGCTAAATGCAGTTGAGAGAAATCGAGCAATTATGTCCTGAAGAAAGTAGACAGCCGTATGCATCATAGTAATACTTGTAGGGTGGTGTATAGTTGCAACTTACTTGGAACCAGAGGAACATTTTTCGAGAATATTTTGAACAGACACGCACCGGAAGTTAGTGTAATAAATGATTTAAACGTAAAATAAATAATGTAAAGACTGTAAATAGCATCTATTATGAAAATACTCAAAGATAGAGGTGGCAGAGTAATGCACTGCGTAGACTTACTATTTGGGAAAAGAGGATTATATATCAGACAACTGTAAATTGTACTAGGTTGGCTGGTAGCCCAAAGAATACAACAATGTTGCTTTCATATATAATTGGGAATCTTTCCAGATTAAAAATGATCCAGAAGAGACCAGCCACACAAACCATGTAGGGACTGAAAGACATGCAATTAACATTGAGACAGTAGAAATTTATCGAAACCATACACCTAAGATCTTAGAGGACACAGATTTACTACCCTCTGAGAGAAAAACTTTCTCCTCCTATCAATTCTAATTGGGTGGCCCCTCCCTGTGAGATTATTCCCTCATGTCTTAGACCTTTCCACAAGGCAAAACGGCCTTTCCATATCTCCTCTGTCAAGTTCCCTTAGAGTCTTATGTTTCAACATGGTCACCACTTAATTTTTCTAAACTCTAGTGAGTACAGGCCCAACTTACTGAACTTCTCATTAGAAAATCTCTGCAAGCCTGGGGTCAATGCAGTGAATCAATTTTTGACCGCCTTCAATGCCAGCATATCTTTCTTGGGAACATCGCCACCTGCAAGTTTCTCTCCAAGCCAGTCACCATTCTGACTTGGAAATATATCACCATTCCTTCAAGATTATTGGGTCAAATCCTGGAACTCTACTCCCAATGCAGGTATTGGTGTACCTAGGTGGATAAATGCCCTGGGCCTGTTCAAGTCCATATTTGGATGTTGTGGGAGGCTAGGGAAGAAATTGCAGAGGCTTTTGGAGAGATTTTTGCTTTATCTTTAGCCACTGGTGAAGTTCTGGAAGGGAGGCTAATGTTGTTCCATTGTTTAAGAAAGGTAGCAAAGACAAGCCAGACAACTACAGACCTGTGAGCCTGACATCAGTGGTAGGCAAGTTATTGGAGAGGATACTGAGGGACAGGATCAACCAACATTTGGATAGTCAAGGTCTGATTAGGGATAGTCAGCAGGGATTCGTGCACGGGAAGTCGTGTCTGACAAATCTTTGAGAGTTTTTCAAAGAGGTAACCAATAGGATAGATGAGGATAGGGCAGTGGATGTTGTCGAAATGGACTTCAGTAAGGCCATTGACAAGATCCCACACAGCAGACTAGTCATGAAGGTTAGGTTGCATGGGATCTAGGGAGAGGTAGCTAATTAGATTCAAAATTGGCTCGATGGTAGCAAGCAGAATGTGAAGTTTGAAGGTTGTTTCCTGGTCCGGAGGCCTGTGACTAGTGGTGTGCCACAGGGGTCGGTGCTGGGACCTTTGTTATTTGTCATTTTCATAAATGATCTGGATTTGAATGTACAGGCATGATTGGTAAGTTTGCAGATGATACAAAATTCGGAGGTATCGTTGATAGTGAGGTATCTTGATCAGATGGGAAGTGGACTGAGGATTGGTAAATGCAATTCAATACAAATAAGTGTGAAGTGTTACACTTTGGAAAGTCAAATCAAGGTAGGACTTGTACAAGGTAGGACTTGTACAAGGTAGGACTTGT